CGATCTAACACTCGATTTCATCTCGCTTTTTTCATAGTCGTAATTATTCTTCACGAAAATGACGCATCGGTACACGTCATTCCTATTCGGTAATAAATAGACAACCATGCACCGAGTAACTGAAATTCGTGCGTGAATCACGGCTGGTGAGGAGTAATACCGCGCGTGTCCGATAACAACTCTCGCAATAATACTCCGTAACGCTTACAGAGACAGCTAGTATTTACTCTAGATGTACAAATGTGCATCAGACTACTCTGTAGCCGAGACTGCGAATTAAAGAGGGCGGATCAATGGTTGTCTACTTAACTCCGGCGTAACAATTCCAGGTCGTCAGGGTTAAGGTCGCCATGGTTACACGCGGCACGGATTACGCGTACTCTGCCTTGGCAGCACTCTCTGCTATGTCGGCGACGGCTTCATGGGCGGGCCCGGCGTGCACTGGTACAGCTTCGATCTCCACCGGCTGGAAGGGAATCTGGTCGTCCTGCTCAAAGCCGTAGGTGGCGCCTTCTTTCACTGAACCCTCGCCGGTGCCCTCTTGCTTGAACGTCTGCTCCAGCGCCTGGTCGGCCTTCTGCGACGCAGCGACCTCTACCGTCGTCTCGCCGCTTCCGCTTCCGGCCTTGTCGGGCTGCACCGCCTGGGAATCTTCTGAGCTGATAAAAAGAGGATACGTTATAGTGCCGAGCTCCGCCGGGGCCGTCATCCCCCTCAGAGGCTACAACGGAGAGACCATGTACTACGCCATTAAGATGTCCTACTTTCAGGGTGGCCGCGCTGGCGTCGGTCAAGCTGTCGCTAGCGCTGCTCAGGCGGGCCGTACTGCCGCTGCTGCCGTGCAGGCGGGCAGCGCGGGATTCCGTGTTAGCAACGCAGCACGCGCCGGTTTCCATGGCGGAGCGTCAGGTACCACTGGCGCCCGCTTCAGGACGATATCGGTTGGTCAGGTTCCAACTACTAGGCTTCAGCAGGTGAGCTAGTACGACTTCTTAGGTGGTCCTTCTCTTCGCAGCAGGCACTGCGACAGGTCTGTGGTGGACGGAAGGGCGGGTAGGGAACACCGCGCGGCACTTCTCCGTATAGACAGTGTATAAGGATTAGTAGTTAGGATCGAGATATAATAAATAAATAAATATATATATATATATATATCTTGAAATGCAGTATATCGATAAATAACTACATGATCAGCTATGTAATCAGTTAACATTCATCAACTATGCAAAACTTGACGTGTTTCTAGGTGAGGCAGATCATCGGTGGCCCACAGAGAAGAGTCGTTCCGGCCGTCGCCCAGACCGGCGTATTCCGGACCGGATTCGGGGACGAATTCGACACCAACACGTTCGGAACGCTTCGCGCGGGCAACTACGGAGTTCCGACCTTCGCCGGACCGTACGTGGACATCGGTCAGTTTGACTTCGCCGCCCGCAAGGAGGCGGCCTTTGCCTCCGCTCCAGGAGACTCCCGCGTGAAGGAGGGAGCTCTCCAGCAAGCTCCTGTCGGCAGACGATACAAGTCCGGATTCGCCCGCCAGGTGGAGAGCTCGGCAGCCTCCGGCGGAGCTCGGCACTATAACGTATCCTCTTTTTATCAGCTCAGCAGATTCCCAGGCGGAGCAGCAGGCGGCGACGCAGCACGCCAGCAGGAACGATACCAGCAGCTTCATGCTGAAAACGAAGNACTTGAATTTATAACTGCAATTAGTGCACGCTTCTGCCAAAACCAGATTGTTTTCTTTCATCAGGTATTCGCCTGGGCGAAGTTTTGCCGTATTTACTTCTCCCTGTACGCTCGATTGCTCACCGCTAATCAGATTCCCTGCCATAACAACCGTGCAGGCCCCATATCTGCCATATCTCAATATTTTGTTGACATATTTGTTGAAATTATACTTTTAAACAGGAGAGAACATATTCCTTGCAGCAAATATACGTAAAAATTTAATCCATATACCTCTGTTTATGAATAATAGGGAGCCCTAGCTGACATAGCTCTAATAAAATTGAAATCAGCCAATAGATGGCGACATGTCTCATATACGATATATGCAGCAATATGTCCAGTCTTTATCAAATGTATGAAATAGTACTTTGGTGAAATTGTGATTTTAATTTAGAGAGTATATATCCGCCAGTCACTTGAATAATCATAAGGCGCTTAGTCGCATTATATTTTACGTGTAATTTAACGGGAGAGCTACGTTTAAACTGCCTAGTAACCCCACATTTACCGGTAACGTGGTGGTAGACCTGTGTTCGCGCATGCCCAATATCTGTCAAATGAACCAATATTTTATTGACTTATAGTTTTAAAATGCAGAGTAAATATTCGTCGCAGTAAGTTGACATAAAAAATAAATCCCGCTGCTGCTCTTTAGTAAAGGTAGCGAGCTCAAGCTGATGTAATGCAATTATACTTTAAATAAATCGGTCAATAGATGGAGATATCCATCCTACATGATGACGTATGTAAAGCGTTTATCTAATGACAAACAGCATAGCAAAACACAATTGATATTAATAATCGATTTTTATTTGCTTTAAAAGAATGCAGGATAGAATATATGATATGAACTAAAATGGCCTTGCTTGTGACACAATTGCTTAACACTTGGTGGACACTCATTCACTCGACACATATGCCTTTTCTTGGATTCAATATTGCTTCGGCTATGAGCCGTGTATACAATTTCAACTTGGTCGGTTTCTTCGATCTAACACTCTAGATTTTATCTCGCTTTTTTCATAGTCGTAATTATTCTTTACGAAAATGACGCATCGGTACACGTCATTCATATTCGGTAATAAATAGACAACCATGCCCCGAGTAACTGAAATTCATGCGTGAATCACGGCTGGTGAGGAGTAATACCGTGCGTGTCCGATAACAACTCTCGCAATAATACTCCGTAACGCTTACAGA